AATCGTGGAAATAAAATACAGGTTTTTGGGAAAAAGTAACAGCAGCAGTACGATTTTGACATCCACATTGGTATATCAAGCTATTATAATTATTAACGAATTTCGGTTTTTGATTTTAGATTTTTATGTCAAACAGCATTCACTATGCAAAGGTCTTTCCGAAAATAATGCCCATTATTTTATAGCTATATATTTTTATAACATTACTTAACAAGTCAAGACAAGTCAGTAAATCAAATTTATATTTTTAAAAAACAGGCAACAGCAGTAAAATACTCCTCTTTTCATTATTCCTATACCTCCACATTGATATATCTATCTATTATTATTATTTCCGAATTTCGGTTTTTGATTTTGGATTTTTAAGTCAAACAGTATTCAAACAGTATAAGCCTCCCCCGAAAATAAAACCTATTCTTTTATAATATGTTCCTGAGTAGTCAAGATTTTAAAACTTAATTTTATAATCAAACAATATATATTGAGTGTATTTTAAATAACCACAGACATAATATTTGCCTTTGCTTTGCCTAGCCACCCCTCTACATTAATGCTTAACGCCTTTAATTAAATTTTAATTGACGACTTCATTAGCATAAGGCACAAAAATGTTGTAATTAGTATTGAGTGGGCATTAAAGACGAACGGGCGGTATTGTTGGGCAATTTATGGCAGCAGAAACGGCAATCAGTTTTGGCCAAGAACAGGAAGTGCCACGAGGAAAATAGGAGCGGGAAAAAGCATTTTCAACCGCGGAGTTGGGGGAGTTTGGGGATTCCGAAAATGAAGCGACAAGCTGCCACCCAAAAAGCCACGATTTTTGTCCAAGGAGTCACCCTTCCGTCCCTCCAACCACTTCAATCAAATGCCAGGCGCCGCAATATTTGCGTTTAATTTACCAACAATTTGTGTGTTGCGAGCGTTGGAAATTTTTAACATGCGGTGCGCGTCAAGTGGCCATTGAATCGGCTCGAGGGTCTCGAAATTGCGAAAAGGGGGACTCGGGGATCTATATATATATAATATATAAAAGTCCCCATGGGCCCCGAACAACAGAAAACAGCCGTCGCTGGCCACAGTTTGTACTCGTAAACATTAAAATCCCTTGCAAATTAAATCGATAAATGTTTGAAGGCGAGATTTTTCGTGTCCAGTTTCGCCATCCTTCTTATTTTGCCCGAATTGGGTATTCATAAATCGATAATTTGCTGCCTTATTTCCCAACAACAAAATTACGTTCGGTTCGTTACAGAAATAATTTATGGGGTAGTTGAAATTGTCTTCAATAGGCTCATAAATGTTCGAGAATTACGCTGATTACGGAAAATTAATATAAATGACCGAAGGATATTGGATTGCAGCGTTTATCAGATCATGGAAGGGAATTACCTTGTGCATATTATAGATAAGATAGATATTTATTGTGAAGTATGTTTAATTCATTGGGATTACTATAAGGTTTTGGTTAAGGCAACAATAAATAATAATAATTCGATCCTTTAAAGTATATGTTCTTGATAAGCATCATCGATCTACCCTCTGATTCAGTTCTCAGATTTATATTATTTATATATCATATTATTTAAAAATCTTTAATGTTTGACAATTTCTTATGTTTACTAATAAAAGTGTGATATAATTGAAATTTACGATTGGCCACCTCATCAATAATGTTAATTATCGATATATATACTCCTTGAGTACTTATAATTCCCATTTAGTTCTAACTATAGATTCATGTCCTTCAGTATGCAGTCCATAAAAACCTTTTCAGTATTTCCTAATTTAACATAATTAAATATTTGTATACTTTACAATACTTATTAAAACTGCAACACTTAGTGGTTAGCCCATCAACTATTAAGTTATCGATTACGTACTTGCTTGAATAAAAATCGCAATTGAAAGTCTTGAAAACACCACTTAATGTAACTTTGAGACGTCGTCCAACCATACCCTTAATAAACCCCATCCGGATTGCCTAACGTAATCGCTGCCGGAGTCGGTTGCAAATTAAGCCGGGGAAAGACTTTCTTGGCAACACTCGCACTTGGCCAATGCAATTTCCCCGGCATTACGACGGGCAAACACTCGTGTGTGCACTATATGCACCACACTACATATATGTATTATATGCACGTGCAGGAACTGCCGTATAACGATTTAATGATTCTCGATTCTCATTTACATTGCCACTTGATATGGAATTCGCGCCCCGGGCCATTCCCTTCTGGTTTGACGCTCAGGTAACGACATTGGGAGCTCCGAGCTCGGCCCCTTCTTCCCGGCGGCTGCTTACGTAACGGTTACGTAATGTGCACACTTCACTTGGGCCACCCACTAGCCAAAAAGACCCCAAAAGCCACCCGAAACCACCCAGAAACCACCCAAAAACCACCCAGAAACCACCCAGAAACCACCTAGAACCCACCCACTCACATCTTGCATACAATCAGTGATGGGAAGCATTCAGGTGGTTTTTATTTTACACCCATATATCCGGGTAAATACCTATAAATAGTATGGAAAACATAAACATAATAATGCCAATTCATTTGAATAGATTGAGCGAAAAAATAAAATCATTCTTATATTAGTCTCAATTTTTAAGTAGAAATGTTCTTGATATCAGAACAAATTTGAGGTCTTTTAGAAGGCTCCATAAAGAGTAAGAAGTTCCCTTCCTCAAGCATAGTTTAGATTTTTTGTGAGGAAGGTCCGAGTTCTATCCCTAGGATTTAATTGTCACATTCAAAAATATATTTCCTTTTTTATAGTCCTAAGATATTGTAAAATCTATGCTATTTATATTTTAAAGTCCAATTGATTGGTATCAAGTCTCAAAAGAGGTTAAATATAATATTATATATTAAAATCTATTAAGGATAACTTAGGTTATTATACATTTTAAAAAATTATAAAAATATTGAGGAAATAATAAAATAAAATAGATTAATACTACTATACATTTTAAGATCTGTAAGAATATTATTGTAAGGGTCTTTTACAAATGATATATTACAATAAAGATTGAGATACCGCATAATGAAAAAAAAATTCATATAAATTATACTCCTATAGATTTTAAGTTCTATAAGGATATGTACCCAAAACAAAAACCCCATACCATATATAGCTACAAATCTGGTAGCGATCATCACTGTCTTCGAGAGACCACAAGCACAGTTGGGGAAAAACAAAATGCAAATTTTGCGAGACGGCATCGTGATTGACATTTGAACTGCTAATGAAGCTATCACTCGTCGCCGGGAGAAAGTGGGTGGGTGAAAGTGGGCGTCTGAAGGTGGGCCGGTGAAAGCGGGTGGCTGTGTCGCAGTGGCTGTCATCAAGTGGCAGTCAGAGATGGAGACACACTCACTCACACACATCCTTTTTGCAGGAGGCGAGCCAAGTCCTTTGTGTGTTGAATTGTAGAAATTGCAACTACGTGACTACGTTGCAACAAGAACACACTCCTCGACGAGCGGGGAAAATCTGTCTGCACATTGCACTTTAACATTTTGTTTTGACAACTGCGAATTCATCAATGCTCCCACCGTCTGATGGCCGATGCAGATTGGGTTTTTCCCGAGCTGAAAGACCCAAAAAGAGAACCACCACCCAGTCTCAGTCTCTGCAATCCTCAATCTAGAATCCCCCCGACCATCAAACCGAAAGACAATCAAACGAATGCAAATTGAAGTAGAAGCGATTAAGCTGAAAATGGATTTGTGTACTTTATGCCATTGCCAAAAGGTTCTTGAGCTTCTTTTGGCTTTTTCCCACCGCCACACCGCCAAGGGAAATCCAAAATCCGGGGGAAAACAGCTTGACTCGGCAAAGTTTTTGTAGGCCGTCGCCACTAAAGTTTGCCACGCCCACTTGAGCAGCAGGGGCGGAGGGGCGCAGGAGGGCGTGGCTGAGAGTTTTGTGCATTATGCAGCCTTATTGTGAATTTCTGCTGATGCGGCAGCAGCTGAAGATTGCAACTCGGGGCCAAGACGGAGGATTCTGGCATAGTGGATGGCTCAGGAGCCGACAAATTGCAAATGCCGCACAAAAATGCAAACGCAAATTCTTCGGAAAATACGTTTGAATGGACCGGGAAACGCCGGGAAAGCGCCTTGCCACAAAAGCCAAAGATAACGAGACAATTTCATGGGACGCTAGTTGAACAGAGTTTGATGGAAATCATAGAACGATACTCGGATACACGATAATCGTTTTACACTTTGCCGAAACGGGCTTAATAACAGGTAGTTGCCACACTGTCTTTGGCTTACAATATTACTAAATGTTTGTTTGGGCATAATTACAAAAATTAAGAGGCTTGGGATATTAAATACTTTGTTAATAAACCTTCACAGTATATAAATACATAAAAACTACATAACAATTAATAACTAGGAAGGAAGCTTACTTCGGCAAGTCGAAGTTTCTAAACTATTCTATTGTGTGTACAGAGCTTTCCTATTTTTAGAAAAATAAAAATTAATTACAGAAATATTAAGATAATGTTCAGTTTCAATATACTACCGAATATGTTAATCGAATAAAAAAAATATAATGGTCCTTGTATTAATTTGACATGAACTATACGATTGTTTCTATTGCAGCTATATGATAAAATCTTCTGGTTTGTTTTTAATATTATTCAAAGTTCTAAAATGTTAAAAGAATAATAATTCCAAGAGTTGAAGTTAATATGGCAAAAAACACCAAAGTTATAATTTTTTTACGTTATTTAAAAATATTTTTTTGATCATCCCTATGGGAGCTTTGGGATGTAGTTGTCTAATCCGGCTTGTTCCGACCTATATACTACCAGGAATAGAAATACCACTTTTGGAAAGGTTTCATCCCGATAGCCTTATAATTGAGAGACTAGTTTGCGTAGAAACGGACAAGGTAACCTGAATTAACCTGATATTTGTGGCAAATTATAAGTTTATCAACTATGCAAACTATCAATTAGTTGTTAAGAGCAATCAGATGGTATTTAGTTAGTTTATTTTGGTGAGTGTTGATTTAGTTTAAGTACAATGCAGTAATTAAATGAAATTAAATTTAGAATTGTCAGCATGTTAGTGTTTGATGTAGTAAATGGGGCTGCTGCGATGCGTAGAGATGGTAGATGGTAAAGATTAGTATATTAGGTTTGAGGGCGGTCCACATCATTGGCAAGGTCAGCAGGAACTTCGGTATTGGGCTCCGATTCCTTGTCTTCCGGCTCCCGACGCTTTGCTCGCTTAGCCGGTGGAGGGGCCGAATTATTTACCAAATCTTGCAAAAGGCGCGTGTTGCCAGGCGGATCCGCCTCGATCTCCGGCTTCTCATCCTTGGCGGTGGAAGCCGCCATCTCGGGAGCTGCACTCTCGGGCTCCTCAGACCCGGTGGCTACGGTCTCAATGGGAACCTCCTCGTTCATTGATGCTTCATTTTCTTCCTTCTGGTTGAAAATGTCTTCGCAATTAAGGTCAGGCATGTCGGCCATTTTGTTCACTTGTGCAAGTTTTTGCTGGCTGAATTTTTTTTAATACGTTAACTCGGTGCTTCTTGCCGCTGCTGAAAACCACTTAACACTTTGATCCTAGACCCCAAAATAGGTTAAATGAGATTTATAAAAGTTTTTATGTGCTTACCTTCAGTGAAAACCAATTTTCAGTTGTGAGAAAAAAAAATTCTTAAATGCGTCGTCTCGGTGCTTCTTACCGCTGCTGAAAACCACTTAACACTTTGATCCTAGACCTCAAATAGGTTAATTGAGATTTATAAAAGTTTTTATGTGCTTACCTTCAGTGAAAACCAATTTTCAATTGTGAGATTTTTTTCGACACTCAATATCTTGACAAATTTTTGACAGACACTTAATGTGGACGCACAGCTTTAGGGTTTGCCAGAATTAGTGTTGCCAGATCGCTGGGAGTCGTTAAGCCCTAACTTATGCGGGCACACTTATCATATCAGTCACGATTCTCCAAAGATATTTCTTAACAGCACTCTGTTAAAGGCACCGTGCCAAAAGCAATCTTGATTTAAGAAGAGTATAAAAAGAAAGCCCTTTCTATCAATTAATATAAAGTATGAAATCTTTTTCTTTTAATTAAATCTATTAGTTAATTTTCAACCAACATTTTTCGTTAATTTTTCAACCCAAAACATTTTTTACATTTTACACATGAAACTTAGTAGAAAATAAATATTTTATACTGTAAAATTATTTTTAGCTTGGTCAAGCTTATATTTATTTGTATTATTATATTGAATATATTTAAAACATATGTATACATTTATTGTAAGGAACAAAATTGTCTCCCTATAAAGATTATAAATTCCATATGGAATTGGAGTTAATATATTTTGCAAAGGTTTAAGTGGGCATACACTTTAGGAACACTTTGTAGATTACTTGGCCTTACAATGTATAACTATTTTTACTTGGATTAGGTTTACATATATTTCTATAATTATATAAAATATATTTAAAATATTAACCCATCATTTTTAGAACAGTGGAACTTTTCTTTGTTCAGTTTTTAATATTACCCTCAGAATTTATAGTTTTTGGGACCTTAAAAAAGGTGTCAAACCCACAATTTTTTGTGTAAGGCACTCTATATTTCGATGATTTGCAACCTATAATCGCTGTTCATTTTTGCTGGCTGGGCAATTTGTTACATTGACGCATTGCAACAATGCCGGCAATCCGAACCTCCGAAGGGAACCTTCCAAAGAAGATGTTATGCGTCGATGGCGTGCATTAAACATAATTTCGCTTACGTCACTTGACTGATTAACCATCTGGAACACTCCAGGGGGGGTGGGGGTTGGCCAAAAGGGGCGGGGCAGGGGGTCAAAAGGGCTTAAAGGGGGATCAAAAAGGAAAGGAAACTGGAGAACAGCAAATATGACAGGGCATTCAATGCATGAAACATGAAAACGCACTTAAACAGCAATCAATTGCACTTTACACGAGATGCACCTCCGGAGGACACTTGACCCCTCGGAAAAACCTCCCCCCCCTTCACTACGCCCCTCCCCCGCCGCGCTTTTCCAATAAACTATGCAGGCAAAAAAAAAAAAGGAAAAGTTCGATGGAGGAGGATGCGAAAAACAATATGCACAACACATGCAAATATTTATTTTACTACAACGCAAGAGCGCCCCCTTTGTGCCACGCCCCTCAGCTCAAAGTCTTGGGGAAAATGGGGGGGGGGGGGGAAAGGTTGGGAAATGGGGAAATGGAGACGACAGCAAACACAACAAAATACGGCGAAAACTTTTCCTCCAAAGAAGTTCAACTAGTGAAAAGTTTTCTGCACGAAACTGGCAAATTTTTTGTTCCCTTTGCCTGCAAGGAAAATGCGAAGCCGTCGAATTTTCCATGTTTATTTTGAAATCATGCAAAAACAGCAAAATCAAATTATGCAAAAAATGCGAATGAAAAAATAGCGCGACAGGGATGCAGGCACTACAATTGCAATCAAAAGTTTTGTCCATTCCAATAAGCAATAATTTGTGCACAAAGGCAATAAGAATGCATTGTAGTGGACCTTTGGATGGAATTCCGATTCTTGGGAATCCATCGAAATGTAATACCACCAATGGTTAGTTAATTAATTCCCCCGGCTTAATTGCTGGAAATATTGCCACCGCAAAGCAGCGCTTAAAGTGTCGAATTTCCGAAGAAATTAATGCAGTTCATTGAAGGCGAAGCAATAAAATGCCATTAATCAGCTAATGGATTACAGGTGATTTTATTGCTTCGACAATCTTTAATGAGAACCAATCAATGTCAGTTAGAAACGAAATTCCAAGAGTGTATATAAGCAAAGAATTTATTTTTAAGGAAACATTACAACGAATGAGTATTATAAAAATTATATAAATTTTATAGAAGCTATAAGGCTGATAGAATTTTTTATAATGAAAATGAAAGGAACGGAATTTGAGAAAATTGTCTTAAGTATTTTATTTATATTTTTCTGCATTTAAAAAATTTTTTTTTTAACATTTTGATTGTGTTTTTAATAAATAAATTATTAATTGATAAAATATACCAAGTTGAAAAGAATAATCTATTTTATTTAATTTTGCTGCATATTGATTTTAAAATTAAATTTACAATTGTAAAAATGGAAGAAGAAACTGATAAAAATATATAATAAATATTATTCCTATAACTGTTGCTTACCATATTTTATTTTTGATTTTGCTTATTGATTAAGAATATATTAAATGCATTTCTTTAAATATTTTTGAAGAAGTTGTATAATTATTATCTTAAATGTTAGGAAAAAAAAGGAAATTGTTAAGATTCTTGATAAATGTTCGAAAACAGCCTCAGAAAAGAGCGTTTCAGAAAGTGGCCCTTGAAACGCGATTTTATTGATGGGCAACCAAGCTCATGAATGTTAAATACTAACCTGCTTTCCCAGCACCATCATAACCATCTGCATCTGCATCTCTGGCCCGTTTATTTAAATCCTTGTCGGGGGACGGGGGTTCCGAGAACAGCTGATAAACCCTGAGACGCTGACCCAAAAGCAGGGAAACAGCAGGGAAACTCGAAGCCCTTGCCCCCTTTCTTTATCAGCTCTGTGAAACTTTGTTCGCTGTGCATCATCAGCAGTTTATGAAATTGTTGCAGCTGCAACACCAAGATGCCCCGAGGACCCAGAACTCAGAATCCAGAGCCCAGAATCCAGAACTAAGGACCCGGGCAGCCATGTTTAAAGTTGCCCACGCAGCTGCTGCCAGGCCTCGTAAAACAATAAAAACACACAACTTGGCCGGGGGGAATCGAATGGGAGAGTCCGGAATTCTCGGGCAATTCTCGAGCAGGATGGAAATGGTGCTGGGAATGGAGATGGAGATGGAAGACTGGAAGTGCCGGGGCGGACAATCAACATCGGTGGCCACATGACGGCAAACAGATTTAACAGCACGCCTAACCCCCTGGAGCCCTTACTTTCCCTATTCCTATCCAGATTGTCCCTTCTTTATCACTCCAGTGTTTGTTTCTAGCCCAGAATTTACTTGCAATGATAAACTGCTAAAGGGTTTGATGCCCAAGCTAACTGCAGATATTCCCATCGCTTTAAAGGCCACAGTTGTAAGAAGGAAAGCTGAAATTAATTTATACTTACAATTGATAAGTTTTTGATCATATTTAATTCAAAGAATCATTACCACCTTTGAATAACAACTAATTTATTTATTAAATGCCATGGATAACCTCTTCCTGGCTACAATTAATTAAAAATTTAAATTATATTTATAAATTATAACATTTAAAATAAAATTAAAATATTTAAAATGGAAAAGGAACATTAAAAAAGTATTCAGTTTTGCCATTCCTGTTAATGAATTAAGGTTTTACTAAAAAATCCACTGAAAGAGAACCATTGATATTAATTATTTTATTGTATGTTCTGCTTAAATGATTAAGATTTCTTTATTATATGATTTGCTAAAACTAGATATGCCTTTAAAGACATTCAGTAAAATGCGAAATGAATAAAAGAAAGGCACTACAGAAAATACAATATCAATCAATCAAGATAATCTAAATGCTTGTATATTAAATAAATACTTAAAAGATGGGAGACGTGGATAATCACTGTTGCAGGCTCTATGGTTTTAAATACCCTAAATTTATTATAAAAAAATATGCATGAGGCTACTAAGTATCTTTCTGATTATTGATTATAACATTTTAGTTAGTTAGATTTAGTTTATCAACTATGCAAACTATCAATTAGTTGTTTAGAGCAATCATATGGTATTTAGTTAGTTTATTTTGGTGAGTGTTGATTTAGTTTAAGTACAATGCAGTAATTGAATGAAATGTAATTTAGAATTGTCAGCATGTTAGTGTTTGATGTAGTAAATGGAGTAGCTGCGATGCGTAGAGATGGTAGATGGTAGTTCAGGTTTGAGGGCGATCCACATCATTGGCAAGGTCATCAGGAACCTTGGTTTGGGGCTCCGATTCCTTGTCTTCCGGCTCCCGACGCTTTGCTCGCTTAGCCGGTGGAGGGGCCGAATCATTTTCCAAACCCTGAAAGAGGCGCTTTGGCAAGGAATTAACCTTAGATTCGTTTTCTTTCTCCTCGCCACTGGCCTGCTGATCCAAGTCGGGTTTCTTGGAGGATTCCCCGTCCATCAAGGCCTTCTCCAGGTCCTTCACATCGGTGTTGCGAGGCGGATCCGCCTCGATCTCCGGCTTCTCATTCTTGGCGGTGGGAGCCGCCATCTCGGGAGCTGCAATTTCGGGCTCCTCGGACCCGGTGGCTACGGTCTCAATGGGAACCTCCTCGTTCATTGATGCTTCATTTTCTTCCTTCTGGTTGAAAATGTCTTCGCAATTAAGGTCGGGCATGTCGGCCATTTTGTTCACTTGTGCAAGTTTTTGCTGGCTGAATTTTTTTTAATACGTTAACTCGGTGCTTCTTGCCGCTGCTGAAAACCACTTAACACTTTGATCCTAGACCCCAAAATAGGTTAAATGAGATTTATAAAAGTTTTTATGTGCTTACCTTCAGTGAAAACCAATTTTCAGTTGTGAGAAAAAAAAATTCTTTAATGCGTCGTCTCGGTGCTTCTTACCGCTGCTGAAAACCACTTAACACTTTGATCCTAGACCTCAAATAGGTTAATTGAGATTTATAAAAGTTTTTATGTGCTTACCTTCAGTGAAAACCAATTTTCAATTGTGAGATTTTTTTCGACACTCAATATCTTGACAAATTTTTGACAGACACTTAATGTGGACGCACAGCTTTAGGGTTTGCCAGAATTAGTGTTGCCAGATCGCTGGGAGTCGTTAAGCCCTAACTTATGCGGGCACACTTATCATATCAGTCACGATTCTCCAAAGATATTTCCAGATTGTCCCTTCTTTATCACTCACCCCGGTTTGTTTCTAGCCCAGAATTTACTTGCAATGATAAACTGCTAAAGGGTTTGATGCCCAAGCTAACTGCAGATACTCCCAACGCTTTAAAGGCCATAAGATGTAAGATGGAATGCAGAAATTACGCATATGACACGTTAGCCAGGTCAAAGTACTCATCTTATTTACAATTTTTACTTACAATTGATAAGTTGTTGATAATATTCAATTCAAGGAATCATTAACCCGTCTGAATAACAACTAATTTATTTATTAAATGCCATGTATTCTTCCTGTCTAAAATTAATAAGAAATTTAAATTAGATTTTTAAATTATAACATTTAAAATAAAATTAAAATATTTAAAATGGAAACGGAACATTAAAAAATTAATCAGTTTTGCCATTCCTGTTATTGAATTAATGTTTTACTACAAAATTTATTGAAAGAGAGCCATTGGTATTATTTATTTTATTTTTACGTTTTGCTTAAATAAGTATTATTTGATTTTCTAAAAATAATAATATATGCCTTTAAAGACATTCAGTAAAATGCGAAATGCTATTATAACCACTGAATAAAATAAAGGCACTACAAAATATATAATACCAATCAATCAAGATAATCTAAATGCTTGTATATTAAATGAATACTTAAAAGACGGGAGACGTGGATAATCACTGTTATAATACCCTACATTTATTCTACAAAAATTTGCAAGAGGCTACTAAGTATCTATCTTATTATAACATTTATAGTTTTTATATTTTCAATTTCCTAATAAAGAATGTTAATAGCCTTAACCTTAATTTAAGCCTACTAGTAGTAGCTCAAGCTAGAAAAAATGGTTCATAATGGCCTCGAAGCTAGAGTACTACATAAATAAATAGATAACAAAATATATTTAAAATTAAATTTTTTATTTAGAATGTAAGGGGCTACCCCAGTGCTGCCTAGGTATCTTCGGGATCCACTTCCTGGCACTCCCCGGGATTAGCATCCTGCGAATTCGCCCTTCGTCCTGCGAACTGCCATCGCTTCCATCCACCTGCGTGCACTCAATCATCCGGCGAACTGACACAGGCTGAGCTGCTCTTTAAGCCGCGTTGGCCTTCGCAGCTGAGCCTATGCAGAATGCCTTACAAATGCTAATTCGCAATCTTAATGACAATGAGCCGGGCAGAGGCGGTGGAAAAGCTCCAAAAAAGGGGGCAGACAGCAGGTGGGTGACTAAGGGGGCGGCACGCCAAACAATTCTAAAATAATTTGCATATTCCGCTGACTGCGTCACTCGCGAATCGCGACTTGTGGGCTGGAATTGGGCTGGTCTAAGGGCTGACTTGTCTCCGGGTTTTAACTTGGGTTTTGCCCGGGTTTTTGGCCGGGGTTTGGGCTTTTGGGGCCGCCTGCTTGTCATAATTCTGGCGACATTTATCTCAATTTCACGCACGCTAAATACTCACCACACACACATACACTCGGAAAAATTACAAGTACTTTGGGGCACTCATATCTATTTTCTCTAGGCCTAATGTCATCAAAATGTAATATTTTATAAAATTAAAAAATGTTAAAAAACATTTGTTGGAACATATGGATATAAATTTCCTTGATTTTATTATGATTGCCTTTTTTTAACTAAACTTAATTTACTGATATTATAGTTTATTATCTCAAGATATAATTATAAATTATCGTAATATTCTTACACATCATAACTAATATCTATCGAACTCACTAACTTTTTAAGTTTTAATATTAGATAAGATGTCTATGAAAATCATCCGATTATGTTAAAAAAGATAATTTATTTATTTGTTTATACGAGTATTCTTTTATTTATATATATTTTTATGTAATAAAGTGAATATTTTATTCAAGAGACACTCCCTAGTTTTGTGAAATTACAAAATTACTCAGAAGTTGTATTAATTTTATTTAAATATTTTTGTACCCTTTTAAAATTGTAAACCTTTAAATAACTAGCAAAATATATTCATTTTATTTATATATAGTTTTACCCATTTTTTAATTTTAGTTATTAATACCAGGCATACTTTTAAGTCTTGTGAACCCTTAAAATACTTTACAAATATTTACATTTATATTATTTATTTTTCGACCCCTTTTTAAAATGTAATTATTTTAACCATCAACATATTTAAATCGTATTTAAATATTTTCCTTCCAACCTTGACTTGGTTGCGTTGAGTGTAGAGTGACACACAGAGACGCAGCTACTTGGCATAATAATAACCGGGACAATATCCTGGGCACCCTGACCCCCTTTGACCCCCTTTTTGCCCGCCCCTGGCCCGGCAATCCTTGCCAGCTCGTCGCGTTGTCGTCATCGCTGTCAGCGTCGCTCGCCTGTTTCTGTTTAAATAATAAACTAAGAAAGCTTAGCGCTCAAATGCAAAGTTAAATATGCAAAATACACACACGCACCGCATTCCCCGAATGGCAAAGGATGCAAAGGATGCGAAGGATGCCGGGGTAGGATCATAAGCCGCTCAGCAGCTCGTTGAATGTATTTAAGCATAAATTTCAATTATGCACAAAATAAAAGAGCCGGAGAGTGGGGACTCTAAGCCGCTGCCATTAAAGCCGGCAAGTTACCGACTACGGCTTAAAAGATATTCCATCTTGTTTCTTTCTGCGCCACCTTCAGCATGTCCTGATTTCGTTTTTAGGGCGCAGAGGGGGCATGCCAGCATTTAGCAATTTTTCTTGATTTTTTTCCTCATATATATATATATATATATATATTTTGCGTGGCCCGGAAAAATCCCTGTGCCAAGTCAAACAATCTTTCACACACGCCGAACACGCGTCGTATGCGCGATAAGGAAAACGGCTAATGGGAAATGAGGAATGGAAATTTAAGTGGGTGGGAACAACCGGGCGCAATCAATTAGCATTAGGTGGGTAATGAAGGCTCACAAAGCCAGGAGCTCCGAATTCAAGCACAATAATTATGACTGTGATTGAATGGGGCATCGCGAAAGAACCTGAGGCTCTTGGGATCATATTTTTCAAATTTTTGAGCAATTATGTAAGCTTGTAAGACAAATAACCATATTAATATTTTTATAAAACATTATAAATATATATTCTTCTTTAAGAAAATAACAACGAAAATACAGATAAACTTAACAAAACCAACTGGTCGTATGAGTGATATTTTCTAGTATTTTATTTCACCTGATTTATCTGCTTTGAAGTTTAAATACAAAACATTAGGTACGTAGGTATTTATTCCTAATTATAATGAGTAAACATTTGGTTGTTCCAAGTAAGCGCTTGCCTCAGAATTTCTAGTGAAAGAGGCTTCTAACTTATTGTTTGGGGAGTCCCCTTAAATTATAATCCCCATGAAATTTTCAATGCAGCCAATCTAGGATTGCCATGAAAGCAAATGGAAATCCTGAAATAATAGGCAGCACAAGTCTTGCATTCCAAGGCGACTTTTGTTCTCTATTTATCTTTATATGACTTTATGCATTTACTTAAATAATAATATAAAATATGATAAAACAAGTTTTAGTCTTGTAAAAAAGATTAAAATATTTACAGATTTTATAAGGAATTGTTTTTTCTTTAAAATAATAATTTTAGAGCTTAAATTTGAATTAATTCAGAATTTTTTATGCGATTTAAAGCAATTTTGTAGGAAAATAATACCAACAAAAATAAATGCTAAAAAAATACTACTTCTAAATGCAACTCTGCACTATAGCTTAACATTTTGGTCTGGAAATGGGGTTCGAAACGCTTTAAATTAAATTTAAAATGTATAATGTACTGGTGATTTTGCAAGTAGCAAGCAAGTAGCAATTCTAATATTGGCACAGCCACCTCGAAACTGCCCATGCAGCCTTTGTCCCCTGAAACTGGTGACCATTTCTTGCGGCAGCGAGTTCAAAATCAAATTACATGTTTAACAAACAAACCACTTGCATGCCATTGAGCACACACAACACACACAGGCACACAACACACACACACACTCATACAGTGGCAAGGACATTAATGCAACCCACAAAATCCACGAATTGCAGGTCCTATCGCAATCGCAAATGCCCCCAATGCGTTATGTTGCGACTAATTATTCAACATTAATTCTAATTTGATTTGTTTATTTTGTATAACGAAATGTGTTTGCATCCTGTGTGTGTGAGAGTGTGTGTGTGTGTGGGAGGTGTTGGGCGTGGCAGTGCATGCTGGTATTAGTGTCGAGATCTCCTCACATATACATACACACCCACAATCAGATGCAAAGGAAATTCAATTGAATTTTGTTTGAGCGTAATTAAATAACACTCGGCAGTTAGTCAGTTAGTCAGTCAGTCAGTTGGTCACTTAGTCACTCCGTCAGTTTGTAGGCCATTGTTTAATACTCACTCATGTGTGCATGCATTAACACACATACACCACCGATCTGGAGCGATAATAAATGCTGGAGAGCCAAGTGAAATCGTGCCAGGACTACGCAACCAGTAAATCTGGAAAAATATAACAAATATATACAAATTAACGTTATTTAAAGGCCTAAAATTGGATTAAATTTAAATTTGATTATTATACATGATGAACATGCGATGAAAATTAAACTTTTCCTTGATGATTCTGAGCAATGATTGAAATGGTGTTGATTTAGCTATGAAAATGTGATGAAATAGATATGATTTGATGATGATAAAGCGGTGGAAAAAATATAGAAAAGGCTAATCATTTGGAGATGGAAATGTGATGAAATTTTCTCTTCTTGTTTATGGTGCTGAGTTATTAGCCTATTCTCTTTTTTAGAGACTAATGATGTAAGTAAGTAAGATTTAAATTTATTTATTTATTAAATACTGATAATTTTCGTATTCCCTAAAAATAAATAGTGTTTAGC